GAAGTTGGGGGGGGGGGAAGTCTGCTTTTAGCAGTGATAGATCAAAGCATTGAGCGGGGAAGAATTGGCATGCGGTCAGTGGGCTGCCCTCTAGTCTGTCCAACGTAAGAGTTTTCCCAGTGGAAGCTGAGTCTGTGGCAAAAGCCTATTGTTGCGCTGCAGTTCATTCAAAGCACTTCTGTGAAAAGACTTCTGAGCATCTTAGCCTGTATGCTAGCATTTTTTCTTTTTTGCCCGCTGTCTCAAGTTTCTCAACACTATCCACCTACTGCTGGTGATGTGGTTTGGATGTTGCCTTTCTTATTTCTTTCCTCACCTGTTGACTTTTATGTCCTGGTCAATTGTGAAATGTTTTCCAAACTTTTCTTTTTTTTGTCTTCACCTTGTGTCTTTGCAAATTGTCATGTTTCCAAGGAATTCCTCATTCCTGACCGTGATGATAATTTGCATTACCAGATGTGAGCAGATACATTTATAATTGCACCTAAAATGTGGTTTGTGGTTTGTGTGGTGTTTTTTTTTTCCTTCCCTGTCTTCCTGGCCATCCTACTAATCCTTTGAATCTGTCTCCTCCCTTACCACCTCTGCAGCTCTTCATGGGTCATTCCCCTCCTCTTTATTCAGAATTATCTTTTATCACAGCACATGCTGTTTCTAACCTTGTCATATCTGTCTGTCTCTCATAGATTGTGTTTCTAGTCTGCATGCTAAGAAAAATGTGGCTCCCAACCAAAAGCTAGAACAAAGGGTCTGTTTTCCTGGTTGTGTTGCTACTACACAGCAAATGAGTAACAACTGATCAGTGAGAAACTTAATCTTTTCCCCCTTTCTCTAGGGTAAAGCTATTGGAGTGACCATTGGCTGCATTTTAGGAATGTTTCCTTTGTTGTTCTTTGGCGATGAGGAAGAAAAACTGGAAGAAAAAAATTAACCTTTTTACAAGACATATACAAATGTAAACTACTGTACCTCAATTATTCAATTATGCTGTCAATATTTAGGAATTAACAGACAGTAAAAAAATGTATAGACTTGGGAACAAAACCTTCAGCATGTCGTTTTATGGAAACACTAATTTATTGTGGCTTTGTTGTGTTCAGTACTTCTTTTTATAAGATATCATCTAACTTTTTATTTAATTGTAAATTTTTGAAGTGTTTTCACTTATGGCAACTGGTGTTTACCACTTTCCCCTTTGACCTTATTCTTTAATGGAGTATTAGTTTAATAATCCACCGTGGATGACAGTACCACTCTTCAGTTGCATATTGGTTGCTTAACAGTTGTAATTGCATGACAAAAAATTCACTGCTGTTCGTCAGGTCCTTCAATACAGATTATTAAGGAGGTCAGTGATGAGTAATTTGACTGCTTGCCCCCTCACCAGCCATCGTTTTGCACTGCCTTTCGACTAGATATTTCAGCGATCTATGACAGTCTAGTTTGCATTTTTTTCACGATTCTAAATGTCTCTGAATTGTCTTCTGAGATGATAATTTTAATGCTTTGACAAGGTAAGTGTTTCCAGTGTAGGCTCTTTACCAAGTCCATTTTTTTAGTGGTGTTATAACACCTTTTGTACTTCCATATTCATGCCTTTTTTTCCTTTGTAAACAATATTTTGAGAACTGAGTTGAGAGATCCTTAAGTTTGTCGTCCTGAGTTTTGAGCGTGGTATTAAAGAATTCAGACCAACTGTTTCAAAACCACAAACAACTTGTTTTACTGTTCTGCTTAAAACAAGGTGTGAATAGTTGATTGGGTGGATGAGGCTGGGAACCCTTCAGGGTATGAATGAGTGCTGGCATTGCAAGTTTGTAATGGGTGGTTCAGTTGAAACAATATAAAGTGTATCATCAGTCTGGATTAGAAGGACCTGATTGCACATAGTAACTTTATATTTAAGATTAAGCCTTTGCTACTTTTTTTTTGCTGTGAGACAATTAGTAAAAAAAAAACCCCAAACAACAAAAAAAAGGAGACTTGAGGCCTTTTTCCTTTTTTGCCTTTTATTTTTGCAGTCTTACTTGGTGTATTAGAGATCTGACAGTGCAGTCACATGTAACTGTGCTTTTTTTATATGGTCATGAATAAATTGATTACAACTATTGAATATTCATAATACTTCAGGATCTGACTTGCCAATAGCGTAATGCTAAGCTGATAACTGTTGATTAGAGGAGAGGGTTTCTTACCTGTTTGAATACCATTTGGAAAAGACACTAAAAAGAGAGGCACAGGCAGGGCACTTTGAAAGTTTTATTGCTGGAATTGTTAGCACTTCTGAAACCTAGAAAGAAATGTTTAAAAAAAAAAAAATTAAGTCCCCTGATGACTTTTATTTGCTATAGGAAAAGTCTTATTGTAACGCGTACATTTTACAGAGCTCACTGCTTATTTGTTGGTCGTAAATCTGACTTCTCTGTCCTCATTTCTAGAAGCCCTTTAACAGCAGTACTGAAACTTTGACATCAACCTTTAAGGAAGGTGACAGTGTTGTATCTGTTTTTTTGAAAAGCAGACTTTGAAAACTTGCAGTGAGTAGTCCTAGTAGCATGTACTGTACTTTGTACGTTAAACCATGAGAATCTGGACCAAACTGTAAAACTGAAAGAAATCTCAGCCAGGCATAGAACACAAATGCAGAAGAGTTTTGGCTTGCATTTTCAAAGTTGGAAGCTTTATTTAAAAAAAACAAAAAAAACCAAAAAAACCCAACAAAACAAAAAAAAACCCACAAAACTGAACTAAAACAAACAACAAAAAAACCTCCAACCACAAAAAAACCCCACACAAACCAGTCCTGCTAGAAAATTATGCACTCTTTCCCCAACAGATTGCTGCTGGTTTACAGTACTTCAGTGATCTCTTTTTTTTTTTTTCTCATCCACACATTTGTCTTGCCTTAAACTCTAACTTTTCTTCCTCTGCATGTACTGTTGTTTCTGGTATGTTTGTATACAAAGCTGTAAGCATTTCCCACATGTTCTTTTTTTAAACCGAAGTACACATCAAAGCAATTTTGCATAGTTTTTTTTGTAGCTGTTTTTACAGTAATTCCAACACTGTTTCCCATTATGACACTGGCATCTTCATTGGAATCTTCCAGCAGTGGCCAAACCTCTGTTCTTTGCCGTCATACCAAATGGAACACTGTTTTCATCCCTTTTTTTAGAGCTTGTGAGAACAATCAGAAGTCTGTGTCAGCTGTCATAGTAGTGTTCATTTTCTAATGACAATAGGAAAGACCATGTACTGTTGTTAAATAGCTTGTGCATGTAAATTGAGTATGTTTTGTTGCTGTATGTCAAACTATTGTACTGCAACCAATGCTTTTTATCGAGAATTAATGAACTAAAATATCTTCAAAGAATCATGTGTCGTCTTGTTAAACTATTTAGCTAACCACAAAAATGTGGAGGGCAAGTGACACATGGTAAGAAATCTTGGGTGTTTCAGGCTGTTGTCTGATACCATAATCAAGAAGGTGACTTCTAGGGTTTCAATATTTGACAAACGTGAAGAAATAACTCGTGATTTCAGAGGAATAGTGGCTCTGCTGGAGGCTGAGAGAAAGTGCTTGTTGGGGCCAAGCTGCCACCCTGAGTACAGTAGGGGTAGCTTGCTTTGCCTGCAGGATCCACTCTTGCGTGGATGTGGTAATGCTTTGCGTGGAAGGGAAGATCTGTTCCTGATCTGTACTCTGTCTCCTTACAAGGAGGGTGGGTTTTTCTGGGGTATATGGATGAAAGTAATCCTTGATGCTCTGATCAAACTGCTTAAAACACTTAACTTGAGAAGACAGAGCACTAACAAAACACTCCTCTTTGTTTTCTGTTGTCTTCTCCCTCCTCGATAAAAGGAAAAACAAACACTACAGGCTTATTCAGAGACTTCAGTATTGCTCTGTTTTTTTGATTCTATAGTTTGTCCTGTGTTAACAGGAATTTTTCACGTTAAAGGGCTGGTAGACCTGAAATTGTGTTTATTTTAAAATGCTGTCTTACTGTAACTTAAAATATAAATGTATTTTTGACTGTATGTTATCTCTAGGGACAAAGAACATGCATCTGATAATACGGTTACCCAAATCTCCTCACCAATCTCTTCTCATTCATGTACTTTTACATAAATTATTTGAATTCAGACAACATATTTTGTATTGTCTTTAATTAAATTGTCAAACTTTCTGTAAACTTTTGTACTACAGCAAAGCTGTTCTGTGTTTCTTTATTAGACCAGATGCTGGAGGTCAAATGTTAATAATATCCTGTGGGTATTCAGCCTCAGTTATACAAAACAGGAATTTATCACTTAAGTTATAAGCAGGTGGTCCTTTGTCACTGTCATAGGAGATACCACTGTGGAGTGGTACTTCTGTCTCTTCATGCTTGGAAGAGAGCAATTTAAACAATTAAAATGTTTGCATGGTAAATTGGTGGCATTTGTGATTAATATTACTCAGAAGTCCACTTGCACTTGAACTTCTGGAATTAACTGAGTTTTTGTATGCAAACAGCCTTTTTCAACTTTCCTGGACTTTGGAGCTCTTCACTTTTTTTTTCCACTCCTTGGTCAGTCCCTTTTGTGGATGTCTGTGCATAAAGAAGGGCTGCGAGTAAAACATCTATACTGGAAGGATGGTCTCATCTCCTTTTGAGAACCTGTGTAGGTTGGCTGTTACTTTATTCTGATTGCATTGTGGAGTAGAACTTTTCATTAATGTTGTTCAGAGAGTCTATCACACTTCTAGCCAATGTGTTTCCCTCTTCTGTCTGATGTTTTACATGGTCTAGTGACAAGCTGACAGAGTGGCGGTATATAAACTAAAGACCTTAATAAAGTATTGAGGAATTGTCATCCTGCTCTGATTGTCCTATGCCTCTGGAACTTTTTAACCTAAAATATTAAGAAAATAGCTAGAGCTACTCCAGATTGCAGTTAATGCTCTCATAACACAAACCCAAGCTCCTGTTTTAAAGTCTTCATTTAACGTTTGTTAAGGCTTTTACCCTTGTCTCAGTGTTCTGGACCCTTGGCATCCAGAGTGTTGCTTCAAAATAGTATTGGGGTGCAGTGGATGGAGGGTTTTGGGCAAACTTGGAATTTAAAAGCCAACCAAGATAAATGCAGAAGGATTTTTTTTGTTTTGTTTTGGAAGACTACCTCCCCCAGTCAAAACAAACCACACCTTCTAGAGAGCTTCTGTGAGCTTCCCCCTCCTTGCTCCCCCAAGAGATTGTAGTCACTAGGATTTGAGCAGGGCAGTCTTTGAGCCTCAGGTATGTCATTCAGAATAGTGACCTTAGGTAGGAACAGGGAGTGTGGAGTGCCGATGTAGTATCTCTCCTGTAAGTAGGTGATGCCAAGATAAGGCTTCTTGCAGCAGCATGGAGAGAACTGGCAGGAAACAGTTTTGGTTTAACAGTCTTCACCTTAGTAGTCCATAGGTATCTAAGCAACTGGCTTAAATAATGATGCATCTATAAATGCTACTCCACAGTCTCATGAGTTCCTCCTTCTGTGTATGTGTGCAAAGACTAAGTTGCTGTGAAATACCAAAATTATTTGAGGCTTTAAACCTGATGCATTTTGTGTCCATTTTGTGTTCTGTTCTTGATACTGTGTTTATCAGTGTCTTATTTATATATCTTCGATTATGAGAAGGGCCTTGTGCTTTTGCCTAGAGGGTTTAAGCCCTTCCAAACTTGTAAGGATATTATCTCTCAGTAAATAGATTATTTTGCAATGGATTATGAAGCATACTGAATTCACTGGTTAGAAAACATGTATCTGAAAAGTAAGATTTGCCACATTGGACCTACGGCTGCTGTTCCTGTTGAAGAGGTTGCCACTGAGCAGGGTGGTAGTGCAATAACATGGAGTGCCTTGTCTTTGCACAGCACTGCTGCTTGGATTTGGCGGGGTGATCTGTTTGCACTGTGGTGATGCCATCTATTTTTGCTGAAAATGGCTTATCTATTACTTCCAAGTAGGAACAAGGAGGAAAGGGAGGAGAATGGTGTTCTGCTGGGTCACTTTCCCTACATGGGGATGCCGAGAGGATCTGTTAAAAGAGAAAAAACTATGATTTGCATTCATGCTACTTCCCTGCTGTTCTCTGTGCCTCAGAATGCTTTTAACATGCTGGGAGATAGGAAGAAAGAGCTGATGAGGCTTCCCTCCCCCAGAGTGGCTTTTCTGCACATCTCAGCTATTGAGCTGCCAAGAATCCCTGCATAGAAGTAACTGTCAAAGGAAAAATGATAGTAAAATACCCCCTTTTGAACACAGGAGTCCTTGAATAGGAAGAGGAGAATGATTACAGGTGATTTACCTTTGGAATACAACTGCCTAGTTACCAAAGGCCACATCAAAAGCCAGTTAGATCTTAAAAGGAAAACAGCCCCTTTTTGTGAAGTTTCACATAGGTTTTGATGCAGATCTGCAAGTGACTTTTTCTCTGTATGGTTTCCCCTGATTAGTTAATTGCCCCATTTTGTGTAGGAATACTGAAGGGTGGTGTTTTCCTTCTACCTACTTTCCTTTATGAGAGCACCAAAGCCTCTAAGGGATGGCAGGACTGGGAGAGAGACTGTGACCAGAGCCATTGCATGTGGGAAAACATCCCAAGAAATGGTCATGCTGTGAGAGGCAATCTTATCTTCGTTTATAGTCCTACTCAGCTGCCTTGTAAAGGCAGGCAGGCAGTGGGACTGTCCCCCTAGGAAAAGAAATTATTTTGTTGGATTGTGTTAGTCTATGCCAAGGGTTATTACACTGGCAAGCTGAGGAACAGGGCAGTCTCTCATCTAGATATTAAAAAAAGAGGAGGCTACCTACATTGGAAACCTCAACATCTTTTAGGATAACTGTCTCTTTATCTCTACAGTAGATTAATGGCCTGGCTGTATGTTTTAGCAGATTACAAAGTCCTGGGAAAGCCAAAACGCAGTTGCATGTGGTGTTTCTATGGGTCACTCAGATGATGTGAATGGTTTGGGTACTCGTGAACTCGGTCACTTGCAGATATCCTGCAGGCTTCAAGGCTCAGTTTTCATATATGTTAGGGGGATTCCTGAAATGGGATTTCTCTGTCTAAATGTAGACTTTCCATGTTGCAGCTGGGCAACGTCATCTGGGTTACATACCCTGTGACCCCTTTGTATATGGTAGAAACCAGCACTGGACAGTCTGATGTATTGTAGGTGTCCAGTTCAGGATGGGATTGGTCATGCTCTCTAGGCAGGAGGTTACCACCATACAGCCTCTGCACTGAAAATACAATGTTTATGTTAATCCTTATTGTCTTCTATTATTCTCTAAGCCATGGTATTTGGAGTGTATTGGAGTTTCAGCCCTATCCTTTGCCCAGAGTTTGCACAGTTTTTGATCAACCTGGCCTGCACATTGTTGCTTTTGATCAGTGAAATTGTTAATTGTGCAAGTTAGCTTGTACATGAAATGGAAGAGTTTATTTCAACATGAAATAACTAACTCGTTGGATGGAAACTGTTTACTGTTGTAAAGCAAACCTACTTTAATTGCAAGTGGAGCGGCTTGGTAGCAAAGAGGGGTGACAGGGAAACAAATGACTTCTTTAGAAACTTTCCAGCAGGGAAGAGCTCCTCCTTTCTGGATGGCTGTTCTCTGTGACACTCCATGTGGGTAGCAAATTATGACTTTTTTTGTTTTCATTTCAGCTGCCGTGACAAACGATGCAAATGTCGCGTGTTGCACAGCAGCGGGGCTCTCCGTTGTAAATTACTTTGCTTGAAAAATGCGATCTGTTAAATAGAATGGCCAACAAAAAGGAACTTAATAGCATACTTAGAACTAACATGCTGCTAAATGCTGTCAGCTTGATGTTGCTGAAAGTTGGTATAATAAAAGGTAGGCCAAGTAAAGGACAACGGTGTGATGTAGCCAACAGTTACTGACGAATCATTAAGAGAATTGTGGTCTACAAAAAAAGATTATTTTTGTGAATATCCTGCAGCTGTCCCCTCAATGCTGGGTTTGCTTGTGTCTCCTTGAGTCGCTGTGGTTCTGAGGCCAGTGTGGGGGACGTATAATGAAATATTGAAGAATATAATTGCAAAAGGAGAGAACACAGAAAGGGAAAAAACCCTCCTTTCAAAGAAATATAAACAAATTACTAATTTCATTAAAATATCTGAAAAAATGACAACAGCAGTGTTTCAGTCTAAATCAGTATCTTTCATTCTGGCACTCCCACTGGTGGTTACAAAGCTAGAAGGTTTCTGACTTCCATCTGATGGAAACCACTTTGGTGCAGGTCCTGTATTGACTTGACTCTGACTTAAACTGAGTCATAGTAAACAGAAATTATGGATTTTGCATGTTTTATTTCTTAATCCTTTTATTTTCCAGTTTACTAAATTAGGATGCTCCCTGTATGTGCAATCAGCCTGTGAAAGAGCAAGAGTTGCTGTTTCTGTTTTAGGCTTGTCATTGTAAACGATTATTGAGAACAATAGTGTGGGTTTTTTCCCCTGTAGAGTAATATAATACTCAGCATATTTTAAAACTATTATCATATGGTTCCTAGCTAGATAAATGCTGTTAAGATAGCATAAGAGACAAATAGTCTCTTTTCTCACGCTGAATCTAAAATGGGAAAATTTGTTAGGATGCACTTGCTTTTCCCTATTAATCACAGAATCATAGAATAGTTTGGGTTGGAAGGGACCTCTAAAGGGCATCTAGTCCAACCCCCCTGCCATGGGCAGGGACTTCTTCAACTAGATCAGGTTGCTCAG